GAAGAAAACCTTGCTGAAGAAAAGTGCTATATAGGAGCTACGCATGTTGATGATTTATTATGGTGGCATGCCATGTGTACAGTAATAAGAATATAACATAGCTTTTAGATTAATAGGAGGATTGTGGGCTTCAGGCTGAGTAATAATCTATGGCTGTCTGGTTTCATGGCTGCTGGAATACAGCCATAATGTGCAAGTGAGCTACAGGATACTGATGGGCAGTTCACAGGTCAGCACTGATACAGACTATAGAGGAAGAAAACTCTAAAACTGACAGAAGTATAAGTGTATGGGGGTGGGGAGGAGGAAGAATGAAAAGAGGCTCTTAATTATCTAATTTACCCCCAAGCCTAGTGCTAGATGTTGCAGGAAAGAGCACACTATTATATGCATGAAGGTAAACAGCTGGTGCCACCACCACCATGAAAAAGGGGACTTACTGTAAACCGTGGTGTCAATTTTTTTATATCTTCCAAAGAGACATCGACTCCCATTACTCCAAGAATCAGCTGGTTCTGAGTAAGATTCCAAAATGTTAGCATACAATTTAATATATTTACAGTGTACAATAATAGAAAGAGGTGAATCTTAATTTTGCTTTCCCCATTTTTTGATAGAAGTAACCTACTTTTGTATATAAAGTATAGGGTCATTATAACAAACCAGCAACAGGAGCTGTTTTGCCTCTCCCCCCTGCCCCATTATCATGATGCAGCAAACATCCTATTAATAAACTTTTCTCTTGGTCCCATGGGGGTTCATTCTAATGAGATTGTATTGGGTGTCAGCTAGTCTTTTGGGGCAGAAGCTGTCTTACGTATGTAAAGGTGAAAATCAGCTACCATACCCATATGAGACTGATTAACTGCCAAGAAATGTAGAGCAGTTGGCCTAAACTGCAAAGACCTTATTCCCTACCAGCCATTAAATGGGACAGTATTAACATATGCCTCAGAGCATCAGCCTTCATGTCAATGGGCACATCTACACAAGATGTTTACTGGGGAGTTGCCTAATTAGCTCTGCAGTAAAATGTCAGCATCTACACATGTGCTGCTATTAGGATGGAGTAAACTAATTAACAACACCGTAAGATACACAGGTAACATCCTATGGCAGAGCTATTTACTCCAGCACAATGCACATGTAGATGCTGATGGAGCTGGCTGGGGCTGCCTCCTGGCTAGCACCGCACTGAACGGCCCTTGTGCCCCAGCTGGCCCCTCCAAGGCACGTAGAACTGGGTCAGAATAACACTGGGCTGGCAGGCTGACCCCTGGAATCCCCTGCCATCTGGAGCTGCTTTGCCCCAGCTCAATGTACTGCAGTCCTGGATACACATGCAAATGGCATGCCCAAAAGCAATAAACTTCAGCACAAACTGCCCTGGAGTTTATTCAGGCATGCTCGTGTAGATGCACCCAAGATCTCAAAAGGTAAAACCAGGGGTGGGCAATTGTTTCAGCTGGCCGGCTACTTTGTGAGTTTTGGTGAGCTGTGGAGGGCCACACATAAAATCTTTTAGAAGATTTTGTTTTAACAAATTACAATTAAAAAACAAACCACACACTAAAAATGAAACATCTACTATAACGTATTTACTTTTATTTAAAAAAAAAAAAATTGTCCTGATTTATGTTTTTTATGATAGCTCAAAATAAAGTCTTACTCTTGTATACTGGGGGGGGGAAGTTGGAAGGGGCGTATGGGGGTGTAGGAGAATATGGGGTATGTGTGGGGGCGGTGCATGTGTATGGGGGGCTGGCCATGCACTAGGTCATGGGAGCTGGCCAGGGGTACGGGAGGAGGGCAGGGGGCATATGCTCCAGAGTCCACTCGGATGGTGCAGTGAATGTACAAATGCAGTCCACTTCCCCATCACTCTGCTGGGGGTGAAGCATGAGCTGCTTCTGCTTGGGGCAAGCTGTGCCATGTTGCTGCCCACACCTGTACCACACCCACTGACAGCACCGCGGTGGCCCCAGCCAGCACACAGTGCTGCTGCTGCAGTTGCCTAGGTACTGCTCAGCTCCCTGCACCTCCAGCAGTTCCTCTTCCTCCTGCCCCTGCCGCACTGCTCCAGTATCATGGGGAATCAGTGGCAGGCACCACATGCCCAGTAAGGCGGGGGAAGAAGCTGCAAGCAGGCAGCTTCTGCCTCAGCATGTGGGGCTCCAGCTCCCACTCCTGGCCACCTTCTGGTGCAATAAGCAGCCACCTGTGGGCAGCTGAGTGGGTGGAAAGTGGAAGCAGGCGAGACTCAGCCCCATGCAGAGAACTGTGGCAGCAGCCATGGGCCAGATACGATCAGCTGGTAAGCCAGATCTGGCCTGCAGGCTGT